ATTTATTTTCGGACCTTTAGACTATAGTTTCTCCAATTAGAAAACAACTTAAGGAACCCTCACCCTCTTTAATTCTTGCTAGATACGGTCGTGATTTTTATAATGATGTTAGGGAATCGCATTACTAGTTTAGGGAATCGCATTACTAGTTTTAAAACCTTCATTGTTTTTAGCAGAAAGATCAGGAAAGCTAATCGTTTAGACTTGTTTATCATTCAAATATTATAACACAGAAAACATTACTTTTAACATAATATTATCACATCAGAGTAAATGATCAAGCTAACAATTTTACTCTAACTTTTTACATCGTAATACATTTTAAACACCCCATTTTACTGTTACTTTTTACATCAAAGTAAATGATCAAACCAACTATTTGAAATGACGAATTGATTGAACTCTAGCATCGCATCTCCTTTAAACAAAAATTATAAAACAATCGAATAAACAAGATATAATTGAAAGCTCATGAATTATTCGGGGTAAAGTTTTATTTTTCTTTCGTTGTCAAGCACATACGCAGAAAAAAACACGTTGACAGAACTTGATACAATATTTATCAAAAGAATTTTGAATTTTTTCTGTTTCTGAAAAGTTAACAGTTTTCAGTAAAGTAATATTCAATTATTTCCAAAACAATTGTTAATTTGGAGCATTGTATTTTTTTAACATGATAGCTTCGATCACTTTGTAGGATAAACAATCAAAAAGTTTCGTTTTTAGATGGGTCGATGAAACTACTTTTATAGAATGAGGTGCGACCTGAGCATTTACAAACAAGCATTTTGAACTTACTAGAGACTACAACTTTTAAATTCATTTAACAAATATCCCAAAGCACCAGTTACATTTTTAGTACATTGTTGAGCGGTAGTGCATAGTTCTGTTCAAAGTTTTGAGTTCGGTTTCCGAGTTTGAAGTGTACACGGCTAAAATTTAAGAAAGTAAATAGAATAGAGTACACTATTTACTAGTACACCGTGGTCAAAGAAACAGGTGAACTCTACTTCATCTGCTTTATTGAGAGTTAAGTAAAAATAAGTATTTCCTATAGTAAGTGGTATAAGTCGGCATCTGTAATATATGTATTGTAAAATCAATGAGCCATTTATTGATTAACGTGTTGGTGTAATTGAGACAATAGAACGAGTGTTTTGTTAAATATGTAGATGACGATTTTTTACAAGAGTGGTTTTTACATTTACGAAATGTTTGTTACAAAATGTGTTTAAAATAGATCTGTTTATATACTGTACAAGATGAATGTTATAAAAAGGGCTCTAAAAGTTTATTAAATCTGTTTAAATTTCGTTTTATAAATTGACTTTAACATATAAAGAACTCTTATAATGATATAATGAGAGCTAGAGAGAGAAGTTTTTTAAATAGAGTGGATAACGCGTGTGTTTATGTGTTTGTCTATATGTACGGATAAAAAGAAGAGTGGATATAAAATAATGTTTGACGAGTGATCTCAAACGTAATTTAACAACCGTGTCAAAAAAGATGCCTCAACGGAAAATTGCGTAAACGGAAAAATGCGCAATGGAAAACTTGCGCACAAACATGTGATGTTTTTTTTCTTTAAAGCGATCATGTACAGACATTAGCAAAGAATGACTAGATATACATCTGTGCTTAGTAAAACATTTTTTTTTCACGAAATGGGACAAAGATAAAATATATTAGCATTGTTTGTTGGTATCCCGCTTTTTCCTTTTTTTTTTTGCATTTTTCTAGGAACCATGAACAAGCCATTTAGGTCATTTAGACCGTACTTTATTTCTTTCAAAATTATATAAGCACGAAAGTGAAATCTTGCTTTTTCTTTCGTATTAATTTGTTTCAACTTACTATATTGTCAGATAAGACATCAAATCCTTGCATATAGTGTAGACAGTGTAGTCTGTTGTGGTTAGTAGATTCACTGTGTTGGGAGAAGACACTAAAATAAAAAGTAAAAATTGTTTATAAAAAGAAAAATGTAACGTAAGTAGGCCTATACGGATATGTAATATTTAGATTTGTGACGAAGCTTATTTTGGCTTATAGTGTCCTACCTAATAAAATTTATTAAAATTATCTATCAAAAATTTAAATAAAAAAATGTGAGTTCGAATTCGTCTGTACATAACTTACTTAAAAGATTTTTAAAATAAACTAGGGTTGTGTATTAAGCAATCATCAATATTAAAAATATTGACTACCGATGTTAATAAAAAACGCTGGGTTAAAAGTAAGTGAAAAAGAAAATCATTTATGTTTTTATTTAAGCATTTTGTTTAAAACATAATAAACAGACAATAATAAAAGTAATATAAAGAAACGAGAAAAATCAAATGACGTTGTAAATACGATCATTGTAGCAATGACATGTCTCACATTGTTGCGCTACTCAAGCTAAGGTAAAACGATAAAGATAACTCGTTTGACTGGTACCTAAGGATGTAGATCAAGGGAGATAACACGATAAATCACTTTGTCGAAAGCTTGGCAGTTAGCATCCCTCCCTAGAATCGACTAATCGACCATGCATGATAAAAAAAGAAAAGTTATTTTAAATATTAATATTACACATGAAAATCTATTAATACCACCCTCGCATACACACATACGACGTATTCATTGGCCATGATACCCTTTGGTGAGACAAAACCATGCTACAACTCAATGCCAAAGATGATTCAACTGAACTTAAAATCACGCATGGCCCACGGCTCTAGAATGGCCCGTGTGTTGAAGACGTCATTCCTGTTGGCTGCTACACACCGTTCACCTCAGGCAGAGGCGTAGCGGGGGGGGGGGGGGGGGGGGGAAATACCTCCCCGGGCGCCAAAATGGGTTGGAAAAATAAATTGAAAGCTTGACGGGGGGGGGGGGGGGAGGGATGTGCAAATCGAAAATTTGAAATTTGAGTGAGGTGTGCAAATCGAAATCTTGAGGGGGGGGGGGGTGGGGTGCTACCCCTCTGACCTCATGAAATCAATCAAAGATGCATAGTTCTTCGCCACAGTAGTCAACAAATGCCTGAAATTTAACGATTAAATCAATAGCATATCATTATATTAATACTGCACTTTGGGTTGGCGTTTCATGTGGAATAGAGGTATAGCAATGTTCGATAAATTTGAGAAAAAATTCGCTTTTTTAGAAGACGTATAGCGCCGAAAAGCTACTTAGAATACACTATTCTATTATAATATAACATAAAATTCGTATGGATTTCACCACTGATGTCGTTGCGTTCAAAGTGACATAGAGTGAAGTACTACTTCCAATTACCGGAAACCACCCAAGGGTTGATTAAAATCCAAGTACAGGAGCAAATACTTATAAATTAGTTCACAAGAAAGTAGAATAAAATGCCACTTCCGTTTACCGGAAATTACTAAAGGTTGAAAGAAACCAGCTTATAAAATCATAGACTTTTAAATAAAGTTTTGTAAGGCTAACTGCAACAGCACTGATGTTTTTGTGTTCAAAGGGAAGTACCACTTCCAATTATCGGAAATAGTTCAAATTTTGAGAGAAACCTGCACACACAATCTTATACATGTATGTTAAATTTCTTCCAACTGTCTGAGAGGATACACAAGAAGTTGGCTTTTTAGAAACTGGCAGTGGATTTAGAAGCACTTCCGGTTACCGGAAATCACTCAAAAGTTGAAAGAAAACTACATTCTTATACAAAACTTAAGTATGACATTGTCAGCCCAACTGTAATGGTAGCCTACTCAAGTTATGGTGTTCCCTTATTTACATGGACTGAAAGACAGACAGACAGAGTAAAAAACATCATTAAACGTAGATGCTTGAGACAATTTTTTTCCCCAAATAGTGGTCTGGTTTTTATGATACCTTCTCGGCAAAAAGAAAGAAAAAAAAAGCAAGTAGTTAACCTATAAATAAGCGGCGCCCGAGTCTTTTTTATGTAGTAACTGTTCCAAAAACGACTATTACCAATCGTCACCAATGTTAATTGTATAATGTATAGGTAGTATAAAAAAAATTCAAATTTCCCTAACTTCAGTTTTACCCTGCTGAGAATATTTTAGAACATCGATTATGGATTTTACATAAAAACAAGTAAATTGTCTATATTAGTCGATTTAAAAAAAGGATTGTTTATCTGTCCTAGTTTAATCCGCCTGATCTGGCTTGACCTGTGTATGTGATTTAAATGTGTGGAGGCTTTGTTTCTTGGTTATAAAACTTTATGTGGTTGACGATAATGTTGACGTGAACGCTAAGCAGAGTTTCTTCCAGGCATCTCTTTGGGGTGGAGGGGAGCTGACCCCACTCCCAGAAGAAAGTCTACCGACCCCCCCCCCCCCGAACGAAATGGAATTTATATAGTAAATATATACTTTTAACAGTGTCCGCCCCTCCGGAAATTTGAGTCCGCCCCCCCCCCCGAAAATGTAAAGTGCACCCCCGGAGGAAAAAAGTCTGGAAGAAACACTGACGCTAAGTCTGGAAAGGTGACGAAAAGAGGGAGGGGAGGTAATCAAAAAGATAAAAGATCGGGCGGGGGGGGGGTGTGTGTGTGTCAAATCGAAGAACAACAGTGTATGAAACGCTGACACTTAACAACAGGCAATTAAAATTAACTAAAAAATAATGAATTAGAGTTCTACAAACAAAATTATGTTTTTTTAAAATTATATTACAAAATGGAATTGTTTGAAGTCTAAATGACGAATACATGCATAGTTAATAATACTTACTTATATTTAAGAGGAGACCCACGCTTTTCTTTGGTAAACATTTGTCAAATCTTACCAAATATTTCAAAAGTAACGAAAATTACATGTATGTATATCTTTTACATATATCTATGAATGATAACATCTAATTACATTGTAGAAAAATAAAACACCCCTTCCAAGAAACATGAACATGTATTAGAATAATTTGTTTGGATCAAATATTCAGTTTGCGCATTTTTCTGTTGCGGATTTTTCCGTTTGAACTTCCGTTCAAAAACTCAATAAACTCACACTACTTTTAAAATGTCTTTATCTTACATTTAAAACTATGCTAACGTGTGTACTATGAAAGGTTTGCATACGATTTTCATTTTAATAAATAATAGAAAGTTATCAACTATTTTTGACGGCTCTCTATTGTTAACTAATGTGATTAACAGCTGAGTGTTAGATAAATGTTAGCCTATTAGCTGATGCCAGGGTCAATATATATTAGATTTTGTATAGTTGGTCGGCATTTAAGTGTTTTGTAGAGCTCATGTCCAAGATCTGTTTTAATGGTTGGTGTTGGAGGAAAAGGTATTTTTTATTTCGTTGATACTAGATCTAAGTCTTATATGTAAAAGTAACAATTCAAAGGAAAGATAAGAGTTCATATGTTAATTAATCGAAGTATATAATATTTATATTATAAAGGAATGGTGTGTTCATCAGCACAATGCCAAACAACTTTAACTTTTACTAACATCGGAGATGGGTAATTCAGGGACGTCGTAAAATCTCGTGTCCGGACCGAGAGCAGAACTCCAGACTTTTGGGCTAGCAGCCGAACACCCTCCCCCAGAGGCGTAGCGAGGGGGTGGGAGGCGGGAGGCACATGTCCCCTGGTGCCGACCTCAGGGGGTGCCAAAATGGGTTGGAAAAAAAATTGAAAGTTCGAGGGGGGTGCAAATCGAAAGTTTGAAGGGGGGGGGGGGGGATTGCAAATAGAAAGTTTGAGGGGGGGGGGTACAAATCGAAAGTTTGTCCCCGGGCGCTGGGAAGGGTCGCTACGCCTGATGTATATGCTGTCTTAAACTGTCTGAAGCAACTCTTTAATTAAACAGTTTATCACTTTAAATAAATCAATATACACCTCTGTGGATTAGAAACATTGTTTAGATTGTTAGATTTAATAAAAATAAGTCTTCATTGTGATCAGTTCTAATTTGCTTTGTTTTGTAGATCTCCGAAAGAAACGGAACAAATTAAAACTCTTCGGATTTCTTCTTTGTACCCTAACAACGATATATTACTGTCTCATTTATAGACCTTTGTCAAAGAAAACCAGATTTTTGCAAGGTAACGAAAACAAATACATATATTTTAATGACATTCATATACTTATACATGTACATATATATATATATATATATATATATATATATATATATATATATATATATATATATATATATATGGTTCCATGACCAATGATCTCAGGACAAATGATCTGAGACAAAATATCTCAGATAAAATATCTCACGAACAAATGATCTCAGGACAAATGATCTCAAAGACAAATGATCTCACGGACAAAAGATACCAGGACAAAATATATTAGGACAAATGATACCATGGACAATTGATCTCAGACAAAATATCTTACAGCAAAATTTTAATAGTGTATTGGATGATTTTAGTTGACCTGAACATTTTTTTGTATTGACTGTCATATGGTTTTGTTTAATAGGTTTAATATTGTTTATAGGCCTATGTAATAATTGTAAGAAATATTTGCCGTATAAATTTGTCATATTGCACTTAACATTTTAAAATTAAGATTACTAATATAGTATGCGAAGACTAAAGAATTTTTTTCGATAGACAGCGTAGGTGGGCTTGCCAAACTTGAGACAATCCTACCATGTCAGGTGGACAAAACTAGATCAAAGGGAATGAAATAACAATAAAGACACACCTTCGTATATGGTGGCCGCCCGCTTTGACGGCAGAGACATGCCTTAAAGGAAAGACATCCGCCCTCGATTGACAATACAACTAGCATCTAAAGTCAATACTTATGCGTCGGTCACACCTTAGTGATCTGGTAACAAATGCTTATTTAAACGACAGCGGTCATCGCGGAGCTGAGTTTGTCGTAGTGTGCATGCAAACAAAACAGTATTAGTGGTGATTTCGTTACCTCGCAGAAAGGTTTTATAACATTAGTTTTTTGTGATTTTATGTATATAAAAGCCAAAAGTGGAACAGCAGGCAAAGAGATTTGTCTGAGATATTTTGTCTGAGATCATTATATATATATATATATATATATATATATATATATATATATATATATATATATATATATATATATATATATATATATATATATATATAATTATATATATATATATATATATATATATATATATATATATATATATATATATATATATATATATATATATATATATATATATATATATATATATATATATATATATATATATATATATATATAATTATATAATTATAATTATATAAAAATAATTATATATATTTATTTTGTGTAATAACATCTACAAGTGGACATGGTTAAACATAAGTTTAAAACTAAAGGCATAGAGCTTTTACTTTTATCAACATATGTATGATATCGTGTAAAAATATTTCCGCTATCTGGTAAATTGAAGAAGTATTAAGATGTCTTTAAACAAAAACTACAGATAAAAAACTTCAGAGATGCAAGCCGGAGTTGACGCCCCAACAGTGTCAGCTGGTGTTAAGGCTACATGAGATAACCACATACAACATTTCAACTCCAGCTGAGAGCTACACACAGCCGTGTAACGCATCGGCACGTGGTAAATAGTTGGTCAAGTAAAGATGTCATATTGTCATGAAATTACTGTTATGCGAATGTTTTCACGTTGTTATATTTGCGTGGCAATTTTTTTAAACTCACGTTGAAGAAATTCTAATTTAATGAGTTTGTATAGATCGTGGCTTAGGAAATGGCAACCCACGTCACTGCCCTCCGACGTTGTACTCAAGACACCAATTCTGCCCTATCACCACTGTCCTATACTTTCCCCCAACCCACAACGCAAATGTCTCTCAAAGCCCTCAAACCTCACTCAAGTGCCCCCCTCCCCCCGTTAGCCTTACATTCAAGGCTATTCGTCCCACAACCTCCATCATTGCCCCTAACACCAACATATTTGGAAGCGTGTCGATTAGGTGTGGGTTAAGGATGCATGTACAACAAAGTGCGTGGTGTGGCAGTGGCAGTGTATCTTCCAGACTGTTTTTTCTCCGGGGGCACACTTGAAATTTTCGGGGGGGGGGGGGGGGGGGGAGACACCGTTAAAAGTATATATTTTTTTATTTAAACTAAATTTCTTTCGGGGAGAGGGCGGTAGACTTTCTTCGGTGGTCGTGGGACGGAGCCCCCCCCCCCCCTCCGATGAGACGCTTGGAAGAAACACTGGTCAGTGGGGTGGGATGATGACGGTTGGGGGTTTACAAGGGAGGATGGTGGTGTTTGATGGTATTTTTGTATGGGCTTTTGTGCCGACTAATCTAAAATGTATATGGTGGAATACCAATCAAGAATTCCTCGTAAATTGATATATTTTGATATATTTTTTTTTAAATTTAAAATAAATTTTCGATATTTTTCAGCTTGCACAAGTGATTGCTCAAAACCATTGCAAGAAAACTTGGAAGGTAATCTACTGAATATTTTGACATCTTCTAAATTCTATTTGAAAGACGAAACACTGCTTGATATTTTATCGATCGGCCAAACAATACCCGAGAATGACGTCATCATCGTGTCTGCAAGTTCGTCCGATCACTACCGCGAGACGCAGGCCATGTTTCATAACCTCCACAACGTCGTGTTCCCATTGGTTGAAAATCTCACCGTTGTCTTGTTTGATATAGGACTGACAGTGGAACAGAGACAAGAGGTATGTATCTACTTCTTCTTCGTTCTCAATTGTAATATTAAACTTAAACGGCATTTCCTTAACAATTATATTAAGTACTACTTGTCAACATGTTATGACTTTCAATTTAGCAGTCGTGCGCCCTACTGCCCATCCACACCACTAACAATGCCACACACCCAGAAAAAAAAACATAAATTTAATCAAATAATACCATTTAAATGTAAATTTTCTTTTGAGTAACTTTAAATTGTTTGTTGCTCACAAAGATAGAGTTTATTATAAACTATCCTTTAGTTTCCGTTCTTCCAGAAAGACCATACAAAAATAGACTAGGAACTACATTTTATGTAAATTAATGCAGGGTTTCTTTCAGACATTTTTTCCCGAGGGTGGAGAGAAACTTGGAACTTTCAAGATGGTCAGACGATAGTTTAAAAGTTTAAAGTATATATCTATTTTTCTTTATCAATAACGTTTTTTTTTCTAATTCGTCCGGAAAATTCCTGGGAAAAAACACTTAAAAGAGAACAATTTAATTTTTTTCCTATTAAAATTCATACAAATCTGCAGTAAGCTCATATTTTCCATGCGAAGTCTGTATTGCAGATAAGTGAAATCAAACAGCTAGATCGAGATGTTATTCTAAAACGTGGTTGTTTGTTACAGTGTTCTTTGTGTATAGCGTATTTTGTAACTCTCCAGACAGAAAAGCACTGCCGGTGTAAGGTGATAAAATTCCCCAGTGAAAGATTCCCACCTCATGTGAAAAAAAACTATTGCTATGCGTGGAAGCCGATCATCATGAGAGTAAGTTTATACAAGTTACACTTATACAAGTGTTACTGATGTGACGTCTTGAAACCTTAACATTTAAAATTAGTTGTAGCTGTAATTGGGTCTCCTACTACACATAAAACAACACAGACTGTCTTGAACAATTGTATATATATATATATATATATATTTATAACTAAACGACACAATTCCCTTTGGAAAACGGTCTGTCGGTTGCACAACACAAAGCAATATTCCATTATGCCCACCCAGTCCTTTATAAAGTCTTTTAACCACAAAAGAATTCCATTTCCTACGCACAAACTTCCGCCCAGTCCCTTTGGAATTCCATTTATCGGTTTATGACGTCAGGCGTAAAAATTAGGGGTATTTTTAAAGTTGTGTTGTTTCAAGATGGGATAGGGGCGGAGGTTAGCTTAGTGGTAAATTCCAAAAAATTAAATATAAAATCCGTATTCTATTACGAAAAATAACAACTAAATTTTTTTAATGTAATCAACAAAACACCATTTTAATTCATTTAGTACACAAACTGATTGGGATATATATATATATATATATATATATATATATATATATATATATATATATATATATATATATATATATATATATATATATATATATATATATATATATATATATATATATATAGGCGATGATTGAGAGAGCTAGGAAAGTGTTGATATACCAAGACTCTACCATACGATGGACTGAGGGAATTGTTGATGTGATGAAACGAGCGACAGACATAGGGTTACAATTGTTCCGTAATGCCTACGCAGCCAGGATACCGATATACACATTAATACAGGTAAATGCTTAAACCGTTAATAGTTAAAGAGGAACGTTTAAACTATATTCTGAACGATAAAATTAATACAGGTAAATGCTTAAACCATGTATAATTACAGGTAAATGTTCATCAAACAATACATGAATGTAAGGAACCGTTTTTTTCAAACGATTTATTAATACAAGTAAATAATGTAGGTAAATCACTGATATTTATAAATAATACACTTGGAAATTTGAACGTCAAAGAGAATCTGATTGGAAAACAACGTAAATGTAAATAAACTATTAGATCAAGATAAAATGTACAACGTTTTCAATACATATTGTGGTTTTCATGCATGTACACCTAAAGACCTCAGAACGTAAATGTATTTCATATACGTTGTAATTCAATTGCCTAATTTACGTTTATTTGTTGATTTTTTTTTCATAAAAATATGAATCTTGTGTGTTTGAATTTTAAAAAAAATTTGTGGTGAAAATGTTAAATATATTAACAGCAATATATTGAGTTAACTTTTGTTTTATATCATGCGGATGTTGATAATATGTAATATATTTATTTATAATTTGTCATGAAGGCCTTCGATTACTTCGAAGAGAAGCCGTGCGCTTTCGACCCGTTCCCCAACCTTTTGGCGGGGATAGCTGTGTACAGGAGAGATGTGTTCAACGCCCGAGCCATTCTGGAGCCGTGGGCCAAGTGCGCCCTGGTGCCTGAGTGCATCTGTCCGGTGGCTTCACCGGAGTCGGTGCGAAGCTGTAAAAGCCCCGTGGCTTACCACAGGTGTCACAGGTGAGATTTATCATAGTGTGAGGTAAGCTGTTGGTGTTAACTACTTACTGATCATTTCAATGTAAACTGTTGGTGTTAGCTACTTAGTGATCATTTCAATGTAAGCTGTTGGTGTTAGCTACTTGGTGATCATTTCAATGTAAGCTGTTGGTGTTAGCTACTTGGTGATCATTTCAGTGTAAGCTGTAAGTGTTAGCTACTTTATTATGTGCTGATATTGTGCTGTTGACTATATAATTTACGCTATCTGATAGGAATCTATTCGGTTATTAAGGCGTGACTTGTACTAAGAGATGCGTGAGTTTATGCCAGCGGAGGTATGACTTGTGCTAAGAGAGGCGTAGCTTGTGCTAATAGAGGCGTGACTTGTGCTAAGAGAGAGGGGCGTAACTTGTGCTTAGATTCGTGTGACTTATGCCAGCGGAGGCGTGACTTATGCTAAAGAGCCGTGACTTGTGCGAAGAGAGGTTTGACTTGTTTGACTTATGCCAGCGGAGGCGTGAAGTAGTAAGAGAGGCGTGACTTGTACTAATAGGTGTGATTTATGCCCGCTGATGCGTAACGTGTGCTAAGAGAGGCGTGACTTGTGCTAAGAGAAGCGGCTGGATATGGTGCTTCATATGCCAAGGTCAAGAAACAAATTAACTCTAATTTTTTTTTCTTTTATTCTTTTTTTTTCCATAAAAAAAAAACAACTCTACTTCATTTGCCCAATGGCTCGCTAGGTATAAAACCTCTTTAATTTTTTTATGAAGCACTAGTAATAATTAAAGAGCCCGTTTGTTTTAACTGGTCTTCGGGCAGAGTAATACAGTAGAATAACAAACAGATAACACAAAGGGAAATATCTGATATTATTACTGAATTTTACCATTATCCATTCTTGTTTTGGTTGTTTGTTCCATAGATTCGACCAGTCAGCACTAGGGATGATAACCGCGATACTCTTCAATAAAGAAATATTTCGTGTTATCTCCCCTGATCTAAATTTCAAAGTCAAAATCAATCGGACGGAGTATATGCCCCAGTATTTCAACACGCTAGAAAAACATCTGAAAAAAGTGTGAATATTTGTGTGTGTTTATCAAGTATTAGATTCAAAAAGGAAAGACATGTGTGAATCTATTTACTTACTGCTAACAGCGAGTTGAGTACTGTGGTGTGTTGGGATTTAAACTAATTAAACTAATTCGTCGGGAAATATGCCTGTATTGAGGAGTTCTGCTGCCAGTGGTGAAGGGTTCAATAAATAAACGAAAACGAGACTTTGTCTTTATTTGGTTTTGGAAGATATCATTGGATGTCACGAAATTTGTAATAACTAAATATGGATGTTGAGCCAGTGGCGGAACTAGAAAAAAAGGGCCACCCCGCAAAAAAAAAAATTTTGGTCCCATATATATATATATATATATATATATATATATATATATATATATATATATATATATATATATATATATATATATATATATATATATATATATATATATATTGTAACAACATGAATTCTTTGTTGTTGTGGGTTAGCTTTCATACAGGAACACGAGCAACAGTGGCAACTTCAAATGACAACTTAATTTACACTATGTACAGATAAATCCGTGGTACATCCATATTTGAAGATCAACTGATATAGGTACAAATAATAATCACGACTCCAAGTCATGGAGACATCTTACATTCACTGCCATCGTTCCAGTCCCAAGTCCTAGCACACAACACCCGTTCACCTTTCGCTCTCTCTCTTATTCACCACTTTCTCTCCCCTTACGTCAATGAGCGATCTCACCCAAAAGCATGGGAAATACACATGACGATCGCTCAGACAGTCCTTCCGCTAGCCAGGTACTCTTCATTCATGCAAAACACAATATAATAAAGATACATAATAATACAGTCTGTGACACGTCCCCCCTTCGAATAAAATTTTGTGTAACAAAATTTATAAATACAATATCAGTAGGGCAGGATCATGTGCCAGACAACAAAATTTATAAATACAGTATTGGTAGGGCAGGACCATGTGCCAGACAACAAAAATTTTTATACGTCTCAAAAACATGGAAAATACATTCTTTGTAGACTAATGCACAAGCATTATGTGTAATATATTCAAATATGAGAAAGAAAAACATTTCAATTACCCAGTAATTGTAGTATAAACAAGATCAATGAGTTTAGTAAATTACCAAACTATAATACATAGTTGAAATTATCAAAGACTTGATTCAACTCATAATTTAAATAACTATATCCTATGTGGTAAAAAAAAACTTCCTTATCATCAAGGCATGTTATTACGACGCATGATTAATATACTTTGTTGTCTCCCCTAGTTGACCCATTTCAGACAAATCTAGGTCACAACACAATCACATTCTTGCCTTACACAGGTATTGACTAATACACAATACATCATTGAGACTTCCGTCTTATTGTTATGCGGAATAAATAGTCTCTAACTTTTATTTATTTACTTTATTCACTGTTAATTAATAGTATAGAATAGGTTTAACATAATACAGTTTACAATCTTTTGAAATAGTACACAATTTATATTACTGATACAAATTGTTTGATATCCATATTCTACAGTTATAGACTGTATAATATTAATAAACTGTAAATTGATAATGTATTATTATCCCAATATTTTTATTATAAATGTTGACTTATGTGGTTTAGGGTAGGCTCAGTTTCTGTACTGTCAACATTTTGCCGAGACAAAAAATCTGCTACTACATTATCCTTCCCTTTTATAGACTTAATTTCATACTGAAAATCCAGCAGAATCAATAACCATCTGTTTATCTTGCTGTTGGCTATCCGTTTGTTGTTCATAGCTAACAATGGCTTGTGATCGGTGAGGAGAATGAATTTTCTTCCTAATAAGTATTTCTGCAGTTTGGTCATGGACCATACAATGGCCAGACATTCTTTCTCTACGGTTGAGTAGTTTTGTTCCGTTTTATTTAGTGATCTACTCAGATAAAATATGGGCCTTAGTACCTTGTCCACTTCTTGCATTAAACATGCACCCAATCCATAATTTGAAGCATCCGTTACTAGTGTTAGTGTCTTCTCAAAGTTAGGTGCAGTAAGCGTTACTTCATGTTCAAAGTACTGCTTTATTAGCTGTAAAGCATCCTGACATTCTTTAGACCAATTTATTGTTCTACTGCTGTCCTTGGTAATTAGCTGTCTTAGAGGTAGAGTTATATCTGAGTACTTGGGTATGAATTTGCTGTAGAAATTAAATAGACCCAATACACCTTTGACTTCTTTCTTGGTTTTAGGTATTTCTAAGTTGAGAATTTTATTTTTATTTCCGTCAGTAGGTCTAATTTGATTTTTGCCTACTTTGAATCCCAAAAAATCCATTTCTTCATTTGCAAATTTTAACTTTTCAGGTGCAATAGTCGCGCCATGCTCCCTTAATTTTGTTAGTACCTCTCTAACTGACTGCATATGTGTCTTGATATCCTTAGAATGAATACATATGTCATCTACAAAATGTACGACATTCTTTATATCTGCCAGCATTATTCTCATAAATCTGGAGAATGTTGCTGTTGAATTTACTAGGCCAAAAGGCATAACATCCCACTCAAATAATCCTTCATCAGTTGTAAACGCTGTGTATTGTTTGGATTCCTCATCCATACCTATTTGCCAAAAACCTCGGTTTAAGTCCAGATGAGTGAAAATTGTTGAGTTCCCTATCTCTTCCAATAGTTCATTTGTATCTCTCAGTGGTTCTGCGTCTATTTTCGTGATTTTATTCAAATCTCTATAGTCACAGCAAATTCTTACTTTTCCATTCTTCTTTTTTACTATCACCATTGGTGAAGCTACAGATGAATTTGAGCGTTGTATTTTGTTAGTTTCGATCAAATGATTTAATTCTTTCTTCACTGCTTCTCTGTATGCATAAGGTACTGCATATTGTTTCTTTTTAAAATTAGCATCCTTGTTTAATTCTATGACATGAGTAATCGTTCTTGTGTAGCCAGTATCTTCAGTAATGACATCTTTGAATTCGTTCAATAACTGCTGTAGTTCTTTTCTGTACTTCAGCGGAGTAATTTGAAGATCAACTGATATAGGTACAAATAATAATCACGACTCCAAGTCATGGAGACATCTTACATTCACTGCCATCGTTCCAGTCCCAAGTTCTAGCACACAACACCCGTTCACCTTTTGCTCTCCCTTTTATTCACAACTTTCTCTCCCCTTACGTCAATGAGCGATCTCACCCAAAAGCATGGGAAATACACATGACGATCGCTCAGACAGTCCTTCCGCTAGCCAGGTACTCTTCATTCATGCAAAACACAATATAATAAAGATACATAATAATACAGTCTGTGACATATATATATATATATATATATATATAAACTAAATACGAAATTATCAACATAGAATATTCAATACGGGCTTGTTCGAAATTTGAAAAAATTAAAATTCTTAGTTTTTATTTTTAAATAAATCATGTTAAAACAACACATCATTTATGTGAGTGCTATTACTCTGTTTTGAAATTCTCTGTTTCAATGTCTGACATGGTTCTTCCTATTTACAAGGCGATCAAAATATTATGAAGCATGACAGCTTTGTATGTGTAATTGTTTTCTCGCCTTATGTTTATTTTTATTTTTTTTGTATTTTTATTATTAGGTTTTTAATACATTTCCTTTCATAATATGTCATTCTTTATTGTGTAATTTAAAAAAAATAATAATTGAGAGAAGTAATTGCTTTTTAATTTGTATAGTGCAAAAAAAAAAGTTTCTTAATTAGGAGCACACATATTTGACTATTTAAAGAAGGGAAATAAGTCATGGAAGCGATGTGAACGTTTGCCTATCTTTCACACTACAACTCGTGTAGCTATATATGTTTTTCCTTTATAAAACAGCGATGTTAGCTACTGTAGAACATCATTACTGTAGTAGATCTGTTTGTATGTATTTTGCAAAAAAAAAATAATATTTTTTTAACTATAAAAAAGTTCATTCTGGTCGGCTTTGGGCCCCTAAATGGCCTCCCCCCCCCCCCCCCCCCGCATTACGAGGTCTGGCGGCACTGTAGTTCCGTCCCTGTGTTGAGCCCATTCCACGATAACATGACTTCCATCGAGTTTGTTTGCTTTTAGCCTGCCTATCCTAAATCAAATATCTTTTGCCCATGCGTCAAGATCCCTCTCTCGACCTTGCCGGTATATTCATAAGGAACGCTAGGCATCACATTTGGTACCAACTCAAGTTGCTGAAGCTTCGAAAGGGGACCAGAGCTGGTAGACCGATTCCTATCGACTACGGGGCTCCACTCTTGATTCTTCATCGAGGTTTAGGGGTCATCCATTTATGACGTCCACACGGGCGGTTCCAAAAAAAATTTGACTTTTGTGGACACGTATAGACTTTTATAAGGGAAATAAGTGAATTTTTGGGGACGGGGGAGGGGGGGGGGGGGTCAAAAGTAAAAAAAAAATGTGGACGTCATAAATGGATGACCCCTTACTCTTGAAGCCATTTGACCGCAAAGCAGCGGGGATTTAAAATCAGAGTGGTCCCTCTCCTAGAGGAATCGCCTTACAATGCTGACGAGCGCCGCCTGTCTGAAGCTCATGTTTTGTTTTACTTTGGCGTCAGGTAACCACCATCAGTAGCGAATTAAAGGGGGGGGGGGGCTGAGAAGACTGCAGTCAGAGGGCCCCGAAAAATTTAGCCGGGGCCCCGCTCAAGCTCAATCCGCCCCTGACCACTCCACTGCTTCACCAGTTAGAAAAAGCAGTTTCACCGGGCTTAAGTAACACGATTAAACCATTTTTACAAGTACGATATTTGGAGTTGTTTCAGCTTGACAACATACTATTTCCCTTACCTAGATTTATTTTGATTATGAGTTTATTTTTTAGAGCAGATGAAGAAACGAAATAATGAACTATCAAACACACTAGGCTTGTTTTCAATTCGTTATTTTATTTTTTCATAAATAAAATGAAAGTCGATGTTTTGACCTGAATTTGACGAAAACCATAGGTACTAGAGTCCATAGGATGTCCGCGTCCACCCAGCCCTGATGGGAGCCTGACTCACTTCCCCTTCCCCCCCCCCAACATATTTCACAGAAACAGGTGAACTCTACTTCATTTGTTAAATCGCTGGCCAAGTCATAAAAGGTACTTTACTTTTTTTTTTATCTTGTTGGAAGATTTAATAATTTTCTTAATCGAAAACGATGATATAAACTATATTGGCGAAGTCTACTCCAGTCACTGAAACAACAGGTTTTAGAAAATGAAAAAATGGCGACAGTTTCGAGGTAGGCTATACCCATTTTTAGCTCGCCTGGTACGAAAACCTTCCACCCCAGTCTTAGAACTAATCTTTGTCAAGATATTGTTCAACTCCGCATTCAACCATGGCGGATTTGTTAGCCCGTTCCCGTCCATCTACTCTCTGTCCCTCTCTGCCTCTAGTCATTGTAACCGCCTTGACCACACACTTGGGATAATATTAGACTTGAGGCAACTGGTGTTGTCTCCCTGTGTTCTTTTGCTGCCATTTGTCCACTCTATATTGCCGTACTTGGCTCCTACACACTGTAATTGGCTATTGTTGTAGGCTAACTTAATGTTTAATCCCAAAAAGGTCGTCCATAAATGACGTCACACTTTCTCGTAGGGGGAGGGGGGTGGTCCGTATTTTGTGAAGATGTGTGATGAGGGGGAGAGGGGGGGGTTGAGATGGTGCGACGTCACAATTTTGCATTATATAAAAGCAATGTTAGAAAACGAATTTTAGACGTTATTTTGCGTTTTAGAAAACTGTTTTAATAAATTGTAATAACGATTGATTAAAATACTCTATTTTGACATACATATTTAAAAGAATAAAATAAAAAAAACAACAAAAAAAAAAAAAACAACAAAAAACAAAAACAAAACAACAACAAACAACAACTAAAATAAATAAATAAATAAATATACAAACTTGTAAACAAACTTTAGTAGTATATAGATACATAGATAGTAATAGTGGGGCAAATTAAACTATATAGAGACGACGTGTAGATGTAGGTTAAGGTGTATGTGTAAGCGCAGTTAATAGAAATTAGCTGAAAACAGACTGAAAATAAGATAATCAAACAAATATTATTTCTTTATAAAATCTTGTTACGAGATTGGCCACATCCCACAAACAGGCATTCCTAACTAAATAAAAGCTTATAACAAAAAAAAAACATGGATAACGATATAAAATATAAAAAGTGACGCTTATTGAGCCGGCCTAGTTTTATTCCATCCCCAAACAGTCGCTAGTGTCGAGGTCAGATCCCAGTCCACTCTCACGTATGGGAAATTTAAGGCAGCTGGGCAAAATGTTGATTACACAATTCCCTAATGTGCCGAGGGCAAAGACATTTCAATTTCAGCAATATGAATTTTAAGTACTGAAAGGGGTGCTTTACTTTTGTCCCCCCCCCAGCCATCTCCAGCGAAGAATTCGTTAGAAAAGTTTACATGTGCCAAGGTGAATGAACAGATTCTCTGATACCGCCTTTAATTATGCTTTGACAATTAGGGGCGATGGACTGCGGGTGGAAAAAGAACTTTGTGTGTGTGTGTGGGGGGGGGGGGGTGGGAGAAGTGAGATAAGAACGACGGAGGGGAGAAAGCTACGCTTTATCATGTCATACATGCTCCGTGGATCTTCCCAACAAAAAGACGCTATGTATCTTTTAATGTCGGAAATTTAGCGAAACTTATAAGGTCATATTTGTGTTGTTAAGATTACAGATATGGTAATAAGTACATAAGAAATCGTAAAAGAACATTTAAAGCCCTTAAATAATGTTAAAAGTATAAAAAGTATAATTAAACCTTAAAATTAAACAGAACACACAACGATAATAATATTTTGAATTTGAGGACAAAATCAGCACCGTAAATTTCACTTCGTTGTGTTTTTTAGAGACAACGTAAATGTAAAAGGTCCTATAAAATGTAGTAGTGGATTTACTGGATATAACAGTATTTGTTGTCAATAAGTAAGTTGTCAATAAGCTATTTATTAAATAGAACAATTCATTGTCATTAGAGCCTTGAAGAGAATATCATGATGGGCAATACTTACGCATTTAATTTATAAAAATTAAGAAATACTCTGCAATTATCACATACAATATTGATACAGTTTGTGATTGTTGATTAAACTAACTATGAATTAAGGAAACTTTTAGACAACGGAAAGTAAATAATTAATTACTTAAAAGCGGGTTAAGTTATTGGTTTGCACCAAACAAGCCCTGTCTACGGCTTATTCACAGTGTGACTGTGGGGGGGGGGGGGGGGGGGGGGGGTAAGAAAAGAAGGAATGCAGGCGATCTCAGAATGGCTATGCAAAAAAAAAGGAATGCTTATGTACAGGATCTTTTATATATTTCATGGCGCGCAAACCTCAAACACGGATGTTTTTATCATTAGTGCCCGCGTGACTATACACCCCCATCCCAAATTGGCTGTCCTCCTACAATCGTACAGGGTCAAAATATCTAACTGCTCATCCCCAGTGAAGAACATATTTGAAAAGTTTCCAAGTGCCCTTGGAAATGAACAGTAATACAATGACCGTAATTCAATTGTGGGGGACAAACACGGAGGTAGGACTAAATGCTGACGGTTGTGGGTGGGCAGAGAAATGTGTGTGAGTGAGTGTGTTTGTGTGTGTGTGCGTGTGTGTTATAAACGGCAGGGGAGAGAACTACGCCCTACCATGTCATACTTGCCCTGTGATGTTTTTCCAGCATTTCTCAACAGAATGGAACTATGCTGTACAATCGATGCATCTTTTAATTTAGGAAAATTAACGAAACTTATAAGGTAATACATGTGTTGCGTATAGTTAAGATTACAAATATTGAAATAATTAAATACATAAGATAACGTAAAACAATACAATGAAAACCCTTACATAATTTTAAAAGGATATAAGATATAATTTTAGACGAAGCAGAACAAACAACAAAAGGAAGATTTTAAACTCGGAAAGTAAAATTCACATCATTGTTGACTTTAGACAAATTAAAATATAGGTTATAGTGTAAAAGTGGATTCACTGGATACGACAATATTTCTATATGATACGTAGAAATTAATTAAATCAGTTGTCAATCAGCTATTCATCAAATAGAACAATTTTTTGGTTGTAAAATCTGATTTGTGTAAAGCTGTTAGGCCTTAACAATTTGGTAAGAATATTATTATAGAATATATTTACGCAATTAATTTATCAAAATTAAGAAATACGCTGCAATTGACACATTACATACAATATTGATAGCATTTGTGTTTGTTGGTTACACTACGAAAACTAGAAGCGTATTATTTACCAGTTTACAACTTAAACACATTCAAAGTAGCATTAAAATTTAGTCTGGTCTTTGTTATTTAGTAACGTGTCTATTTGCAAGGCTATCTTGTCAATAAAAGCGTTGCCACTTAGAAAAACCATGGGCGTCAGGGTACACTTAATGTCTTTTTTGATGAGGTTGATTAGCGTCATGGCCACTATAGAGTCCATCCCGTGGTCAGACAGATTAGAGCTTGTGGTCAGCGGCTGTTTCTTCACACCCAGGATATCCGTTGCTATGGCGATGATGTACTTTTGATACCAGGTCAGTCTCTGGTTCTGAGGTTCCTGCTGGCAGTTGACGACTTTGGAGATCAGTTCCTCTTCGACCTGGGGTTCTTCAAACGTTTCGTTGTTCATTTTACCTCCAAATACTTGTTGTAACTTATACTGCAAGGGTAGGGGTGTATCGCGTTTACGTTTCTCAAGCAGCGTGTCCGTGTTAAATTTAACCATCACAACCTGTCGCAGGCCTAGATGTAGAACCTGATGTAGAGCCAATTCAATTTCATTTTTCATCATCAGCAGGAACCCTAACTCTGCCAGCCTGTTCTTAAGATGATCCTTCTCGTCCAGCAGCCCCAGGTCGAGTGGTCCCCAGTTAATCGTCTGACCAGCGAGGTTGAAATGTTTCCTGTAGGAAACGAGCCCATCCATGAAAGCGTTACCTAGAGCATAGCTGCTTTGTCCAATATTTCCAACCACAGATGCTATAGACGAATACATGACAAAAAAATCTAACTGCATTCGCTTCGTCATCTGATGCAAATTCCACGCACCTTTTATTTTTGGAACCGTGACGTAATTAAACGAATCTTCAGTTACTTCGAGGAAAATCTTATCATCAAGAACAGCTGCTCCGAAAAATACGCCTTTAATACATTCCTTTGGAAAATCAATTTTAATAGAATTAAAAAATTCTTGAACTGAGTTTATCTGACCAACATCACCACGGTATGCTTTGATATGGCACTTAAACTCTTCTGAATATCCGTCCAAGACGCGTCCTACGTCCTCATCACAAGCCCGTCTGTTGAGAATTGCGATGACCCCCGCGCCACGCTGAGCCAGATGTTTCACCGTCAACAACCCAAGTCCTGTCAGCCCGCCCACGACAATGTACACGCCATCTTTCCTGAACATTTTCTCTTTGTCCACCCTCAAGCTCTGGTTGTGACATTGGACCAGCTTCCCCGCGAGAAGTTCAGTCAAGCTGTTGGGTTGAGTGACAAACACATCTCTCGCTGGCTGGGTTGCACTTAGTTGTTTTAAAACTGTTGAGATCTCAGGATTCCTCTTCTCCAACCATCTTCTAACTCGCAGCACTTGACGTGGTATTTCCTGTGGAGAAAATACTTCTTCGGGGCAGAGTAGTATCAGCTTACTGCGTGGTAGTTTATAAGAAATGTATGCTCTATCTTCGTTTGCAACCAAAGATGATATTGCCACTATTTTCAAATGAACCGTTTTCTTATTTATAGCTTTTATAATTGATTTATCAACTCTCTCAAGTAAAATTAATATTTCACAACATGACGTCGTTTCTTTAAATTTATCAGATGTTGAAATATTAACTGAAGAAGCAGAATTCGATTGCCTGATTAATATTTCCAATGCTTTAGCGATTTTAATGTTATCATTTGAAGCTAAAATTGTTATATTTTTAGCAAGAATCTTGTCAACAATTGAAAACAGAACAAGCAGCTGTGTGAGGTTACCAAAGACGTAGCAGGGGAAAAGTTCACGGCTCAACACAACTTCCTCAGGAACTCTGACGACTGTGCCTATAGAGGCAGGGTAGCAGGAAATAACATTTAAAGTTTTGTTTTCTTTGCCAGTTGTTGTACCGCAGCTTTCAAGAGCAACAAGAGAGAAACCGTCACATCCTATAGGTGCATTGGTCACCAACTCATTACCTGATATTTCAACATGATAAAGCTTTGAGTTTGGCAGAAATTGTGAATATGTTCGAATTTCAGCACAGCTTTCGTTCCGTTCGTCATCTTGATAAGCAATGCAGTAGGTTTCTGTTATGTCATTTGGATCTTTGCTGATTAAAATGGTTCTAGTTGAACCATCAACGACTGACGTTTTGTAAGACGGAAAAGGGGTTCGTCCATCTACAGGAACGACTTGTCCAAAGCACGACACTTGTTCTGTAAAGATCCATTCTGGATAGTGCTTGTATTCTTCTTGATGTTTAATTGCCACTGCGACTGATGTAAGTGATAGAAGAGACATTTTCTCCTCGGGTATTTGAACATCTATCAGCGTGACGCCAGAGCTGATGGATTCTCTGATGACGCAGCGTATCATTCCCCAGACAGACGACATTACTGGGTTTACAGGTTGCAACGTTTTACTGTTGTTGTAAGGAAAGGCGTGGCTGGTAAACACCAATACTGGCACGTGTATGTTGTTGGTGTACGTGTACCTGAATATCTCCTGGATCATCTTGAACAAACCACTAACCATGCTGTGAACTTTGTCAGCGTCGTCGTCGTAGCTGATATTGTCTTTCAAAATGCTAATTACAATAAACTCAAAAGTACCGAGATTTTCAAATGCTTCTAATCCAGACGCAACCTTCCACGGATCATTCATTGAGTCGTAGAGCAATATATTTTTCAAAGATTCATCATTCACCGAAATAAAATCTGTAATGTACAATACTGACGGGATTTGCTCTACTGCTTTCAACTTTTCATGATGTACAGGCGACCAATCGATGGAGTACGCGTTTCTTAATGTATTGGCCTGATAGCTCAAGTGTAAGACTGCCAGATCTTCGATAACAGCAATGATCTCCCCAGAGGTCGCCACAAGCTTGATCTGGTAATGACTGAGCCCGCCTTCCCTGCCCTTTTTGTGTGATATGACGTACATCCGCTTCTGCGTAGCTCTAAAAGATGTCAGGCTGCTAATCATAAACGGTAGGATTCCATTTTTGTCTTCATTTGCAATATCGTCAAGTAAAATGACAGACGTCTGCATCATGTTGTCTAAAATTGACGGGTGTATTGTTGTCCCCACTAGTTCATCTTCCACGGAAGCTGGAACCAACATTTCAGCAATGCAATATTTTTCGCTTACATTTTTTCTGGCTTCCTTGATGAGCATGTAGGAAGGGCCATAATCGAACCCCAAAACCGTCAATGTTTCGTAAAGCTGTTCCCCGCTAATCACTTCAGTACATTGGTTTTGAATGAAGCGTATATTCACATTTGAAAATTGCGTGCCTCCCGTGTAAGGCTCCAAAACTAAATCAGCGTACGTTTTGTTTTTACTTGTCACCGAAACTTCAAACTTCAAACTATCATTTTGGTCATCTAAACTCCTGCACGCTAGCTCCATCTCTACAGTACCAGTTGATGGCAAAGAAAACGGGTTCTTAAAATTAGCCGTCACTGAATAAATCTGTGATTTGACCAGACCAAAGAGGTTTATCACCGCGAAACCACTTTCTGCGTACAGGGCTCCTGGGATGATTCTGGTCCCTGAAACCTTGTGTTCAAACACTGAAGGGAAAGTTGTTTGTGATAGAATAATTTTCCCTTCTGAATGAAGGCTGTCACGTGTTTGAATGACGTTCACAAACGGATGTTGACGTCGTAAGGGGTTGACTCCTGCCAGGTCTAGCTGTGCGGCTTCTGATATTTCCAGACATTTTCTCTCAGTGAAGTGATACCTCGGTACAGATATCTTTTTACCACTTGCCTGAAGTTTTCTTAGATCAATGTGCACACCCAGCGTGTAAAGTTTGGACATGGCTGACAAAAACTGCTTCCATTCTTTGTTGGTGTCCATAGATGGTACAATGCTGACATTTTCGCTTTGAAAAATATCATCTTTGTGAGCTCTTAATACAGGTTTAGGACCGATTTCAATGTAAATATTTGTTTTATTTTTTTGGACAGTTTGTCTTATTGCGTCGTAAAACAGGACTGGCTCTCTCAAATTGTTGACCCAGTGAGTCGAATCAAGGGGTCCTTCAACAAACTGACCAGTAACTGTGGAGACCATTTGTTTACTTCTATGAATGTCTTCACCGGCTAGAGGTTTTATATCATCCAGGGCAAGTCTTAGCCCATCCTTGCAGGCATCGACATGGTGACTATGGTAGGCCACATTCACATCTAGATCTATCAGTTTGGTCGAATTGTTCTTGAAAGTTAATTCCGATTTGATTAAATCTACGGCCTTTATATCACCACTAACGGCACAAGCAACAGGACTATATTTTAAAGCAATGTTGGCTTGAGCTTTTAAATTGGCAATAATAGAATCAACTACTGATATATTTTCTTTCATAATCAGAACCATCTTCCCACCCTTTACGTTGTTCAGTAGCCGGGTTCTGTGGTAGATGATCTTCACAGCGTCCTCTAGAGTAAGGTGCCCTGATGCAAATGCTGCAGCGATTTCCCCAACGGACTGACCAACCACAAAGTCTGGTGTTACGCCGAAATAATTCCAGAGTCTGAACAGACCAACCTGACAGGCGAATATGGCGATTGGAGAAAACTCTTCAGAAATGTCTCCTTGTTCTAAACTTTTGATAACAGACATATCATCTAGACGGGACAAAATATCATCTATTTCTTTTAGTGCTTCTTCAAACGGCTTGCATTTGTTGATCAATTCTTGGCACATTCCGTTCCAGCTTGTCCCCATTCCACAAAAGACAAACACAACCGACGGATTGTTTAAAGCGTCTTTAGGGCCGTCCTCACGATCTGTTTCATTCTTCAAGATCTGTTTTAGCTCCTCCATATTTTGTGCAACTGTAGCATAACGGTAAGGATAGTGCCCTCTTAGATGAACTGAAGTAAAAGACAAATCTCTAATGTCGATATTCAACGGATATTTTATCAAATCTTGAATGCTCCCTCTCAGAGATTCCATATTTTCTCCAGAAAAGCAAACGATATGGTCATCTTCTCCACGTTGAGATTCTGCAGTACTTACGTTATTGAATGATTTAATTACAGCATGAGAGTTCGACCCACCGAAACCAAAAGAGTTAATGCAAGCAACTTTATTTTTCGTGCTCCACTCCACTGCTTTTGTTGGCACTTGCAAATGTAGTTTATTAAAATCAATATTAGGATTGAGATTTTCAGCAAATAGTGACGGCACTATCTTAGAGTGTTTCATCATAAGCAGCACCTTGATCAGACCAACAACACCAGCCGCAGCCTCCAGATGACCAATGTTGGTCTTCACGCTGCCCATGTACCGGACCCTAGAGGAATGTTTGCTGAGGAAAAATTCTCCAAGTGCATTGGCCTCGGCCTTATCCCCAGCAACAGTGCCTGTTCCTGTAAACAAAACATGAAATAAAGAAAAACATCCAGTAGATAAAAAGGTTTACTTGACTATAGTTTTAATAAACACGAGTGGAGACGCACACCGGAGAAACAGTAGACAATAGTAAGGCTGTCTTGGGAAGATATAAAAGAATATCTGAAATAGGCATTTTTTTACGCTGTATTCTGATAGATGAAATAATGATGATGGTGAAACAATAATTTCTAATAGACTAGAGCTTCCAATGAACAACAACATTAAGAAAGCAATACGATATACTTGACAATATTACTTTGTTACCTATAACATGAAAACTAATGAACATTAAATATTCTTGTTAAAAAAATGCAAAAATAAGTATTAATAAGCTTTTATGAAATAATCCACCTAAAAGGAGAAAAAAACATGTTATTGAAACGTTTTTTATGCATTGTTTTTACAAGCTTTTATTTAACTTGCTTCCTGTCTGTCTGTCCTCACACATATAAGTCAAATTTAATGTCACATTCAGGTATTGATCCACGTGCCAACTTTAAAGCGAATCTGTCAGTTAGAAGTGCCTGAAATATCGTTCGCCCGTTTCGATCTATGACGACCGATAGACAGAGGGAGCAAGTTGAATAAAAGCTTGTAAAAAAAGAAGACATTTAACTTGCCATGAGCTTCAATATACTCTATAGCATCAAGCTCGTCAAGTGTGTAGTCCTTATAGATGGACTCTAGAAGTTGAATCTGCTGTTCTTTAGACGGTGCTGATATTGGTGTCACTGAATGTCCGTCTTGGTTGGTTCCAGTCTCTATAGTGGCCAGAATGTGGTCTCCAGAGTCAATGGCCTGCAAGGGATAATAGACGGTTAGAGTAAGGTAGGGGTTTAGGGAGGGTTAGGAGGATTAAAGCAGGATAAAGGTTAGAGTAATATAATGGGATAAGGGATGGTTAGAGTATGGGGTATGAGAAGGTTAGAGTAAGTTAAGAGTTAAGGAAGGGTTAGAATAAGGTGTGGGTTATGGGAGGGTTACAGTAAGTTAAGGGTTAAGGGATGGGATAAGGGACGGTTGGAGCTTTAGATCATTGACATTTCATGTTTCCACATTCTTTCATGTGTTAGATATATGGAAGCTAATTATGACTTTTTGAATTAGACATAGAATACTTTGTATATATATATATATATATATATATATATATATATATATATATATAAGTTGAAATATAATTTTAAACAGATTCTGATAAAAGTAAATCTAAATTAAATTTAAAACATTTACATCAGACAGTCTTTTGATGATGACCACACCGCACCCTTCACCTCTGGTGTAGCCGTCAGCATCAACAGAAAAGGCGTGGCACTGGCCAGTGGGGGACACCATCTTGGCCTTACTCAGGTGGATGAACATAGAGGGGGAGAGCATGAAGTTCACCCCGCCACAGAAAGCCATGTCGCAGTCACCTGTGACGGACAAGCGGAGCATACAATCTAACAGGCTTAGTTTTTTTTTAATGAAGAGGGTTTTTTAAAAATATTTTAATATATTTGGCAAGGCACTATTGTCAGACTTTCCGGACTGTTAGTTACGCGATATATCAAAGGGAAACAACTGTTTTTTTTATTTTTAGTGTGTTTTAACATTTAAATTTATCTCACATATATATTACCTTTTGAATTTAAAATTTGTTAATTACATGACTTTAAATAAGTAAATATTTCCATAACTAAAAAACACTTTCCAAAATTTAAACTTTGGTACATCAACTAGTCTTAAAGTACAGATACAACAAAAGAAATACCGAATAAAAAAACAAACATTGAAGGGTTACATGGAATGGGAATTTTCTAAAATGGTTTGGAAAAGAATTACATATTTTTTCCAAATAATCAGCTATCCATCAAAGTTGGATAGAATCAAAGACTTCCTTCAGACTACAATTCAGACTACAGGAACCGAACTTATGAGCTGCGGATCACCAATACGACTGCTAAACATACACACACTCATATTTTTCGTACATTGAGAATTATTTCCTACATTTAATTGAGACAAGAAGTCTAAAGCAATTGCTTTTACATTATTACTTTTTCTTGACCTCGACATAGATAATTTGGTCAGCACTATGTCCAGCTGCCAATACTTTCACTGGGTAGACTGAGTAACATCCTTCGGACCGAGATTCAAACTCGAGAAATTCGTGCAAACATACGAGCGCTTTACCGTTCGAACACGCCGACCCATTCATCCCCATTAATCACCATAACTAAAACAGTAATCTAAAACTTCTCCCAAGTTTACCGTTTCGAAGTCCAAGGATAGCTTGGTGAATGGCCACAAGCGCCGACGAGCAGCCTGTGTCAATGACCATGGCAGGACCACGTAGATCGAAGAAGAAAGCTATCCTGGAGGCGATGATGGTGTTGGAGACTCCGGTCACTGTGTAGTTGTTGATGGCGGGGGAGGGGCCGGCGTACATGCCGCTGAAGTCTTGGTTCATTGAGCCTAGAAGCAAAGGGTCTAAAGGTCAATGTACAAATAGGTTAAAAAGTCATAGGGCAAAACGATCAAAGGGTCAAAAGGTCAATGTGCCTAAGGACTAAAGCGTCAAATAGTCAGGCTAAATATGGCTAATAGATCATCATTAGATTGCGCTATTTTGCGATATGTTGCACTACAGTGCTACTGAATATATCATTATAATTTTCTGATATTCCGATGTGGATGCACGCTCTAAAGAGTACCGCTGATTACACACCCCGTACCCACCCTTTTTGTGACGCTAATGAATCTAACCATACGAGCCGGCCCGCGGCATAACATACGCCGCTATTTAGTTGTTGTTTTTTCTACTTTTCAGTAATTCATAATTTGTAAATTCGACAGTACCAATGATGACACTGAAAATATTTCTTTAAAACACTATAAGTAGCTCGTTAAGGACCATAACCCCCCCCCCCTTTCGTCCCCCCCCCCCCCCGCAACGTTTAAAATCGTTTCAAACTAAATTATCTGCCCCTAATAGCCGTCACTAAACCCGACTCCACGAAGGTAAATATAGCGTGAACCACAGCTCACTAAGACCATGTAGGGGTGGGGATGGTAGGGAGCGCGTTTACAGCTTGTTTTCTAGCGTCTCCCAGAAGAGAATTATATATATAGATAGGTATAGCCCAATTCATATTTTTAACACTAGACTAATTCCCAAAAACTCTGTAGCTGTAGGTAAATCCTGGAATCTATACGGGTATTACCTTACAATATATTACAAATAAATACATTTTGTATTTAAAAAAAAAATATCACATTATTCGTAATCGTCTCTTCTATGTGAATTAAAAAACAAGTTAAAAAAAATTAAACAATAATCATTGACCGCTCGTTGTAACAGTGTTCACTTTCATTATATATACCAGTAATAATTAATATTACATATTGAACGCTGTGCACTAATTTAATAACAACGAAATAGCGCGTTACCCACCCATGTAAACGCCAGTTCGCGATTTGGCCAACATCTCTCTGGTCAGTCCAGCGTCCTCCATCGCCATGTAGGCACAACGTAGAGCAAACCTTTGCTGGGGGTCCATAGACCGGGCCTCTGTGTCGTTGATGTTAAAAAATTTGTTGTCGAAGTCAAAAGGTCTGAAACAATAGACGGAGTAGTTTTTTAAACATTATATTTTTAACTTCCATATTGCACTGTGGAATCATCCAACCGACTTGAATTTAAAAGGCCAGTCTATAAGGTGACCAAAGACAAATATACTAACTTGCATATTGGTTTGTTGATGAAATTGCAACCAAGCGATACGCTATTTATAGCATTTTAGGTCATAGAATGGGGCGTGGCTATGATAGTTAGTAAACGGAGGCGTGACTAGGGTACGTTATATACAGGGGCATGACCAGGAAATGTTATAAACAGTGCTTAGCATGGGTTTTGTTATAAACAGGGGCGTAGGTAGGGGAGGTAATAAATTTGGGACTGGCGAAGGTGGCTTATAAACACGGGTCGTAGTTAGGGTAGGTTATAGATGGGGGCGTATCTAGAGTGTTATCAGTTGGATTGGTCACTCTTGGTGTGAGACTTTTTATTTTTATTTGGTTATAAACAGAGGCGTTGATTGGGTAGGTTATAAACAGGGGCGTAGCTTGGGTACTTATAAAGAGGGGCTTAGCTAGGCTAGGGTAGATTTTAAACAAGGGTGTGGCTAGGCTAGGTTATAAACTGGGGCGTGGCGAAGGTGGGTTATAAAAAGGGGCATAGCTTGGATAAGTTATAAACAAGGGCGTAGCTTGAGTAGGTTATAAAGAGGGGCGTAACTTGGGTAGGTTATAAACAAGGACGTTGCTTGGGTAGGTTAAAAATTTGGGACTGGCGAAGGTGGCTTATGAACACGGGGCGTAGTTAGGGTAGGTTATAGATGGGGGCGTAGCTTGAGTGTTATTAGTTGGATTGGTAACTCTTGGTGTGAGACTTTTTATTCGATCGAAAACGACATAATACGATTGAGGCACTGCTAGCGAATACATTTATAACTCGTATTAATTCATTATTATGTAAAAATGAAACAGAAATTTAAATTACGTGATAGCATATTTTTGGAAACTATGAATATGTGTAGCTTTTCATTAACCTTTCTTTAATAAGCTCTTAAAAGACAAATTAAAAACTGTAGTAAATCAAGAATATCTTGTCACATTAAACGTAGATATTCATACATGCATAAGACGCGTTTAATAAGAACACCTTTCCCTTACCTGGAAACAAACCCAGCTTTAGTGACGTAAGATTTCCCAGGTTTGTCGGGGTCGGGGCTGTAGAACGCCGTGTTGTTCCACCTGTCTGTCGGTATGTCTGTGATGTGGTTTTCACCGTTTTCCAGAAGTTTCCAGAACTCATCCACATTCTGGGCCCCGGGCCCTTCAAACCCCATCCCGACAATTGCACTCTTCGTGGCGTGTTCCTCCATCCTTTGTTTTATATTAGCACCGCTTCCATGGAATTACCAGTCTACACTTAACAAAATTACAAGAAAATTTCCTAATTAAATTTGCAATCTATAGTTACAGGCTCTAAATATTGTTCGAGTACAAAACACTAAAACGAATCACGTTAACAACAGCCAAATGAACTAGAACAAAAATTTAGTTTTGAATAGCTACTCCAAATTACAGTTTTAATGAGACATCACGTACTAGGAAGTCATGATCTACCACAGAATCACGATCCACCATAACAGGATCAGAAAATACTAATGAATTTTTTACTGTGCTTCGTATAATTTCCTAGTATATTAAAGAACATAAATACAAACCAGTAACTATGAACTCAGGTACGGTGTGGGTAAGCTAACGTGGACTGCTAACCTGAAAGTCTCGAGTTCAAATCCGGTTTTAGGTTACGAGATGACCCTGAGTGTCTGATGTCTACCTAACTAACATTAAAGAAAATAAAAGCGGCGGGTCATAGTGCTGATCACACAATCTCTTCATATGAGGGGGTCACTGAAACAGATAAACTCTACTTCATCATCCTTATTTGTCTTGGGCATGAAAGGGAAAATATGACGACGAGCTGTGAATTCAGAGTAAAAAAAAAACCCACTAATCAGGCTATTTTGACTGGTGTATGGCAATAGCTATATATTCTTTAGGTAAGTTTCAGAAAGGTCCTTTATGACCTATGATCAACGAACGTTTATATGGGATAAATTAACGTAGCATCACATACAATCAACTAATAACCACATATACTAAACCGTAGCTGTCTCTCAAACATACATAAGTAGACACAATACGGAGAAAACTTCCACACTAGCCCTATTTGTAGACTCTGTAGGTAAAAAAATGGCGTCGGGAATTCCGACAATGATCGTGCGGGAAAAATAAAATAAACCTGAAGGTGAATTGATTTTAAAATATACGTTAATCAAGTGTAGCATGGAGCAGGTAGTACTTCTAAAACCTGGTTAAATAATAAACACCCGAAGCAATTGAAATGACCTTGAGCTTTAACCTACAAATAGGTATACGTATAGGTAGACTTATCCTGTTTGGCAGCCTTGAAAAAAAAAGCGTGAGTTAAGAGACGGACGAAGGTAAGCAGTGAAGGAAGTAAGCTTGACAACTCTTCAGGTAGATTTAAAAAAAAAACAACATCGGTACTCAAAAACTCAACGATCACAGACATACACTTCTCGGCAGTCTACCAATCCTACAATTCTTTTTCTTATTAAATCCAAGCTTCATTCCGCAATATATTTCTTAGAAAATATAGTTAGAGAATACACAGAAGACATTTTTAAATTAACATTTGCTCAGGTAAACATTCAGCTAACTCAAGACTCGTGACGTGAAAAAAATCTCCCAAAAAATTGACAAATATTGCATTACACTTCCGTCATAAAGTTAATAGAAACATATACGTTCGTGCCCTTATACACACAAACATCTAGAAATTAAAATAAGATCTCTGCTTTAATAAAAATAAAACTTATTATTATAAATATGCTGCTTCAAAATGCAGGATATACGAAAATACGTTTCTATAAATAGAATTACATCCGGCATGCCGCGTCGAAACAGCAGCGTGAAATTGACCTCCAGGGGTCGCATGTTTTATTTATTTACCTACAAGCGTCTTTCTGCAAACAATTGGACTAGGCCAGGGGTCGGCAACCTTTTGAAGCGGAAGAGCCAAAAGTTACAATTTTCAAAATTTCCCTGGTTTTAAAGAGCCACAAACATTGTTTTTATTCCAAATATTTTATTTTTTTATTAAGATTATTAGTATTTGTTCAAGGAGCTGGAGAGCCGCATCTTTATATCAAAAGAGCCGCATGCGGCTCGCGAGCCGCAGGTTGCCGACCCCTGGACTAGGCTTTTATTTAAATACAAATTATATGTAACCTATACGCTTTATTTTTAACACTATCGACTACAATGTCTTGCATTTTAAACTATTTTTTACAATACCTTAGAGAAAATTATTAGTAATCAGTAAGCTTGTATAATCATTTCAATAAACATGCACGCTTTTGTGTCTAATACCTGTAGGCAAAGGTTACTTCGAGACAGTCCTTGACTTATATATACACTCAGGCCGAATTAGGAAGTATAGCAGCTAAAAGTGCAACGATTTTTCCTGATAAGTCTCGTCCATAGGTACCCGTATACTGATAAACGTGAAAGTTTTCTAACGTAAACACATTTTTTTTTCTTCTTGGAATTTGTCAGCGAGATTGACATTTTTAAAGTAATAGACCGTGGTCTGACATCATGTTTTTCTTCGTCGTCCTTGAAGTGTTTAATAACAAGCTACAAATGGCTAGCCACGCAATCTCGTTAAAAACAAAATAACCGACTAGGTTTAAAAATAGCAAGCCGTAGTATTAGGTATTATTTCTAATAGATTTAATCATAGCACGTTAAATGATCAAAAGCGATATACTTTATTAGCCATCTCTGTTGAATGGAAGATGTGTGTTTGTGTGCGTGTGTGTGTGTGTGTGTGTCGGGGGGGGGGGTGGGTGGGCTACTGTTCCACCTCAACCTCATGAAGCAAGCCCGCCCCCTCCCCACGCGGACGTTATGAAAAAAAAATTATACAAAAATAGTTAAATCAATGTCCAGCCCCCTCCCCCCCCCACACTGAAATTTCAAGTGCGCCTCCCCCTCCACCAAGAAGACAAATGACTGAAAGAAGGTAGATTTAATTCAGTCTCAATGTCACACATTTAAAAAAAATGTGAGCATAAGAAAATAAAATATTGCCACTGTTACCTTTTCATTGTTATTGTGATGCGTTATATATAAAATATATTCTTTTGATTACTATCTAAGCTTATGAAATCGTGATGTTCTTTGCTCTTGTATTTTCTTATAAGATTTTTTGCTCACAAAATAGTGGTAAAGTTACATATCACCATAACCTTTGTTTTAATATAGGCCTACCTAATACCATTTAAAGTATTTAATGTGGCTGTCTAATCTATATAATGTAATAATTTACGAAATGGCTTTTTACTCAAAATTTATATCCGACCCTCTGTTTTAAAGTACTACGTTTACAAAGTTGAAAAGATTGTGAGCGTGGGTGGTTATGTTGATTGAGGGGGGAAGACAAGTGATTGAGCAGTCTATGATTGGAGACCCAGGTATACTTACCAGGACCTTACCTGTTAAACGTCCTGCTGTTATTTTTAACTCGGTGTCAACCACACCGAGTTAAAAATAACAGCAGCCCAAACGCAGCACAATAATAAACAGTGAACCCAGACAAATTTGAGGCTGTCACTTGACCTATTTTTTTTTATCGCCGCCATGGTAATGATGGCCGCCGAAAACGACAAAACCGGATTTCCGTTTTTTTTTTAAATAACTTTTCGTGACCATTTCAAGAAAACACACTTGTGTTCATTATTTTTGCGTATTATTTAATTAACGAGATCGATGTAGTTTTAACAATCAAGGATTAGTGTTTGATGTAAACTGGCCTAATCTCTGAGAAAATAGAGTAGAACAAACTTATTGTGACAAATTTAAAATTATATATTACTTTTTTACTAAAATGTAGTTATACATTTAAAAACATTAGGATAAAAGAAAAATTCATTAAAAATATAAGAGACAACAGCCAAAAAGTCTATAATTCCCGCCGTGTATCTGAATGGGAAAAGCTCGAGCAGAAGACACATTTCTGCTAAACGGTCAATCGCGTCACAACAGCACTCCTTAAACTTAACCCACCGTCTCTGTCGGTGATCAGGAAGATGAGCAACGGAAAAAACGCAACGGAAAAAAACGCAACGAAAAAAGAGCAACGGAAAAAAGAGCAAAAAAAAAAAAATTGCGCGACGGAGAAAGCGCAAAGAGAAAATTATATATTAATTATATATTATAGTATTATAATATATTATAATATTTAATGTTAACATTTTTCGGGCAAACGGCCTTCGGAAAAGTGGCTTTTGGGGATTTGTCGCATTCGGGCAAGTGTCCATTCGGGCATTTGTCGCATTCGGGCAAGTGTCCATTCGGGCATTTGTCGCATTTGGCAAGTGTCCATTCGGGAAAACGTCCGGCTTTAAATTTTTACAATCTATATATATATAATTCTCTTCTGGGAGCCGTTAGAAAACAAGCTGCAAGCGCCTCCTTGCAGTCCCCTCTCTCTCTCTATCACTATCACTAACACACCCACCCCACCCCCACATTGTCTGGTGAGTGGTGTTCACTCTAAATGTTTACAAAGCTAAATGTTTACAAATCGTAGAGCCGGGTTTCTATTAGGGGCAGATAATTTAGTTCGATTTTAAACTTACAGGAGGTAACTAAGAAATAACTAAGAGGAGGCTGCTTTCACGGGGGGGGGGGGGGGGGGTTGTAGGGTCGGCGGGGTTAGGGGAAAGGGGGGGGGGTTGTGTTTTAAAGCAAATACTTTCAGTGGCAGCATTGGTACTGTCGAATTCACAAATTATGAATTACTGAAAAGTAGAAAATAAAACAACTAAATAGCGGCTCGTAGCAAATAATAAATTAAAGTTGCAATTATATGCAAGATGCAGGAATTTGAAATGAATGAAAAGTTAAACAACGAATTATGTCCCATTTGGAAATCCAAATACCAAAATTTTATTCAAGGGAAATAACTTTCACAAAAATAGCTAAATTAACCAAGTGTAACTAGACATGCTTAAAAAACACAATAAAACACTTTAAATTTCATTTCGTAATAACTATAACAAATCTTTTTTATTAGCTATGTAACCCTGTGAAAACAATATATTTTACTTATTGAGTACTTAACTGTAGATTTTGTTTGAACGTGTAAAAGCGGTAGCTTTATTATAACATACTTCTATTCAATTTCGATGACATACATAAAATATTTACGACGACGAGGTTAAACATTCTAAAAATTTTGGATCCCCTAAAAAAGGGACGCCTTTCTAAATATCAAACATGGGTAACTGCCTTAGACATTGCTAGAATTAATGATTAAATATAAA